AATTCGTCGGCCGAGGATGCTTTGCCGGACGACGTGGGTTGCCTTGGCATGGAGCCTCGTCGCGACGATGGCCGCAGACCGCGAGACGTGGACCAACTGGGACACGCGCCAGGTGTGCCATCCCGCAGCGCACGCGCGCCCGTCGAGCCTGCCCGAGCTGCAGGCGGTCGTGGCCCAATCCAGCCACATCCGCGTCGCCGGCGCCGGGCACTCGTTCTCGCCCATCGTGTTGACCAACGAGACGCTCGTCACGCTTGAAAACTACGCGAGCCTTCTCGAGCTCACGCAAGACACGATCACGGTCCAGGCAGGCATGCCGCTGCACGTCCTCAACGAGATCCTTGCGGCCCACCAGCGCGCGCTGCCCAACGTCGGCGCCGTCGCGGTCCAGACCGTCGGTACGACCACCTCTCACTCTACATAAGACCATCCACAAGCACGGGATAGCGGGCGCGACGTCGACAGCGACGCATGGCACGGGCAACACGGGGTCCATCTCGGCGGGGATTGTGGCCATGGACATTGTCGTCGCCAACGGCTCGGTCGTCCACATAGACGGCGGCGGTCTCCTCAACGCGGCACGCGTCGCCATGGGTACGCTCGGCGTCGTGAGCTCCATTACGTTCGAGCACGTTCCGCTCTGGCACATGGAGCAGATCACGTTCAACATGCCGCACGACGAGTTCATCTTTGATTTGCGCAAGCTCCAAGCGGTACGATGCAATCGACTCTACAATCCAAACGACGATCCAAACGAGGATAAACGATCCTGGAGACTAGGTCTTTCCGCGGCTACAATGGTACATGGCCAACCTTCCGCACGACAAGACGGTCACCGTCGTCTTGCGTGTCAACACAAGTGCGCCCATCACGACTGGCTGCTGGAACGGCTCGTACTCGGCGCCGTCGACGCCGCCGCCGCTCACATGGTCGTCGTGGCCCGAGGGCACGAAAGCATGCGTCGACGTGAGCTACAAGACACTGGGGCGCGTTGGCGACAACAACACCAAGCTCTTTACAGAGATGGAGATGATGATTCCCGCGGAGCGCGACCTCGACGGACTCGCGCGCATGCTCGAGCTCCACGCCAACCTCGCGCCGGCCCACGACCCGTCGGTACAACCTCCACCATGTACTCGCAGGCCTCCATCTGGCATCTAGATTCCCATCTTTCTCGGGGTCCGGTACGTCCAGGCGGATGCGATTTGGCTCTCGCCCTTTTACGGTCGCCACACGGCCGTCTTTTCGACCATTGTGTACGCCAACGCGAGCAACGCAGCGAATGTCTCGACGGCGCTCGCAACATACCACCACGGCATGCAGAACGTGCTGTCGAGCAACTTTGGCGCGCGGCCGCACCTCGGCAAGGTCAACTACTTTGACGCGAGCATGATGCGCAAGGTGTACCCGCGCTTTGACCATTTCGTCCAGCTCCAAGCGACGTGGGATCCGACTGGCAAGTTCCTCAACCCATATACGTCGCGCCTCTTGCGGCTGCCGACGACGACGACGACGGGGCTTCTCTGGCCGCTCGCCGTCCTCGCGGGTATCGTGCTCGTGGGCATGGGGAGCGTCTGGCTCCAGCAAGCGCACCGCAAGACGGGGTACCAAGCATTGGCCTGCGACTCGTCTGTCGAGAAGAACGCAGTTCATCATTATTGACGAGGACGTTCTTCTCTATATCTGTTGCTACCCGCGCCGCTTGGTCGATGGCTTTTTGGTTGTCGGGGCGATGTCGGGGCTACTGTCGCTGCTGCTGCTACTACGATTACTGTGCGCCGACACAGGTCGCAACGGGCTCTCAATCTGCAGCGGTCGACGCGTCGGCAGAACATGGCACGACTTGGCATGGCGGAGCGGCCCTTTACGAAGCTTGGATCGCGCGCCCTCCTACATGACCCGAGCCTTCGCCGATAGCATACATCCAATTACGTACTTCGTCGTTGCGCCGCGCGCGAAAGAGTGCGTGCTTCTTCTCAGAAAACGCCCGTAGCTGGTCAACATCCCGCTACCGCACCGTCCACTCACACACTACGTACGCGATGGCTAGAGCCTACATTGGTTTGAAGCCGCTGTTCGAGTCGCTTGAGGAGAGCCACTTCGGCCGTAGGATAGACCCCTACGAGGTGCTTCGCATCCCATCGCACTCGATAGCGATGACCCACCGAGGCGCGCGAGACCCAGGACATCGTTGGTCGTTGCTTCTTCGAGTGCCAGCGCATTTTCCAAGCTCGTGACGGTCGCGCTCGGTGCTTCGGCGCGTACGCAGCGACGGCAAGACGATGGTGCCACACTCTCCGTATAGAGAGCGAGAAGCGTCGACGCAAGTCGACGATGCAAGAGATCCTACCACCATCGTCGTTGCTATACGAACAAGTCTGCACGTACGTCCAGCAGCCGGCTTGCGTGTTTGATCTGTCGCAGCTCCGTGGCAGGCAGCGCTGTCGGTGTCGGCTCGAACGAGGGCTTCGCCTCCATGTAGTCGGCCGCCTCGTCGACGCTTGTGGCCCTCTATGCACCAACACACTTGGAGAAGACCGGCAAGGGAAACGTACGCAAAGGGTAGTGTGCAGAGGACACAGTCGGCTCGAGATATCGCGGTGGGAGCATCCGCGCCAGGCACAGAAGGACCCACGGAGGCCATCGTGGTGGACCGCAGGCGTCACCTGGTCGCGTGGCACCGTAGTGTACTATCCGATAGCAAGTCGTATGATCCACCGACTCGGCTCGCCACGAGGTAGATACTTGCACGAGCGCACTGCGTGGCGGCCCCAAAAAACTGTCCGAAAGCAACGCAGACACATTGTCGATTCGACAAAGCGCCGCGTCCATCGGCGCAACGAGCGAGGTTGCCATCGCTGGCATCTAGTCGCCACATCGATCCCGTGGAGCCACTTTGTTTTGGGCCAGAATGCCACGAGCTACCTTGGTCGGTCGCAGAAGATACAAGGCGATGAGTTCGTCGAGCATCGCACTCGAGATCGGGTGCAACGTGGCGCCGACAAGGGCACCGTTGGCCAGAGCGCTTGTGGCCATGTAGAGCTGCGAGAGCCGCCCCCGACCCTGGAGCGTGTGCGGTGCCCTACATCAACTTTCAGCGCACAAACGTGTGTCTCGCTGGTACAGCTTCTCGAGCGACGCTTGAATGTCGGGGTCGGTCACTTGGTCGCGCCAGCGCTTCGTCTCGAGCAAGTGACCGATGGACGCAACGCCAAAGTGTAATGGCGGGTGGGGCACACTTGCCGACGTCGCCCGCAAGACGTGGTCACCGTCGTTGGGCAGAACGGCGTCGATCTCAAAGGCACTCGCGAGGTCGAGCTTGGCGCACACGTCGAGTGGAGCGCGCACAAATGCGGCGATCAAGGACTCGGTGATCCCAGGGGTCCAGTCGCGGGACGCAATCTCCGTGATGACTGCATTCTCCTCAAGCGTGGACCGCATCTTGTATTCGTCCAAGCAAAAGTAAATGTGGTCGTTCATCGGGCTTTGCGGTAGCCTACGGCAGACTCAGATGCATCGCTTTGAGAAGCACCGACGTGTGGGGCGACAGTGGAAGCCAGCGCAGCGCCGATGTACTCAGCGGTGTCGTCGGAGTCATTGAGACAACGACGCGCGCTTGCAGTGTCGACAACGGCCGTTTGCTCTTCTTGGAAAAAGGCGCTGAGAACCCTACGTCGTCACTTGATAGCAGCTGCTCGAGCGCTTGCATCGAAGTGGCGGCCGACGTCGGTGGCCGCACGAGACGTAACTTGGTGCTTTTACCTAGCGCAGTGGTTAGCTGCACTTGAATCGATTTGGCAAACTTACTGGACGCTTTGCTCGGCACAAGGATGATCCGGGTAACGACAACGTCGTCAGCATCGACAAGGTGGAGCTGCTTGCGCAAGAAGGGCGCAATGCGCTGCGCCATCGTATTCATGCGCGGGGACAGGCCAAACGTAGAGTCGGGGAGGACCTCGAAGCGCGCCACATGCTCGAATGGCGGCGATCCCATCTCCTCGGCCAGACGGGCCAGGACGATCGACCAGAGCAAGTTGGCGTTGGCCGCATTTGTCTAGCCATGATGTTTCTACAACGCGTGGATGGGTACACGACATATACCATGGCCTCGACCGAGTCGGCTTGTCCAAGTGCGCGCTGCGTCGCCCGCGCCAACGCCTTGTGCATCTCGCCCACGCAGGCAAAGAGGAGGCTCTAGTACTTTAGTCATAACTAACTACGTGGCATCGATGCAAGGCACGTACGTCGGAATTCGTGCTGCGTGGCGCTGGCCACGAGCTGCGCGTGCACCACGGCGTGCTGGGCTCGCTCCATCTGCACGTCGCGCCGCGCGGCGTCGACGCGGCTCGCAAACATGGCCTTGGCGGCACAAAGAAGCTGGATTCTCTGCGCTGCGTCGGTATTGCGCTGCCGCCGAATAGCGTCGAGGCGCGCGCGGGTGCGGTGGCCATCGGCCTTGATCTGCTGCACATACGATGCGTGGACCGGTCTCGTGCGGTAGATGGCGTCGACAAAGGCGTCGATGGTCTGCGCCGGCCGAGCCTCGTCGACGCCGTGGACCTGTGCATGCAGCTGTGCCTGCAGGTGAGCAAAGACGTCGGCGACTACGTCGGTCGCGGGCAGCGACGGCACGTAGATCATGCTGGCCCCCAAAGATACCGGCTACTAAATGTGGTATTTCTGGCACGTGCCAGAAATACGCCACAGCCTCGGAGCCGCCACCCATGTTTTTGAGCTGAAATTTTAAAAACTGCGCCACGAATAAAAGAGCGCGCTAATGGCACGCAACTCGAGGCGCGAACTCGACGTGCAATGACTTCCCGCGCCAACCACCGCGCTATCGCCAGCACACTCCAGCATCGCGATCAGCACAACATCGATTCCATCGATGCACGCGCCCCAATCCTTTTGCAAGCGAATCCTCCTTGTGCCCGATTGCGAGCATATTCTGTACTATGTTGCACCATCCAAGGACTCGGTCCGATCATATTCTACGATGATGGGCGAGTCCGAAAGGCCCACATCTGTAGAGATAAAGACGAGCTAATACTACTACACTGCTACTACACCAGTATCCAAACTCATTGCACTAAAATACAGAGGGTGCAAAAATACTACTAGTACTTGTTTGTGTTGGACATGCACCACCTCCATCCACTCTTCCATCACTGCATGCGTTGTTCCTGGTCGAGCGTCCAGCATACAAACGCTCGCCATGTCCACTTTCACACTAGAGCACTTTCATTTCTCGGTCGCAGCGTCCCGAGGGGCGGCCGAAAAGTGGCGTGATTTCAGCCAGCGTGGCCTGGGCTGGATAAAAAAGGGCACTTTTCCAAAGCGACGGCGGCACCAAAGGGCAATGTCACGGGCCCGCGTTTACGCCGACGTGTGCGAGTCGCGGCCGCGCGAGTACTGGGACTATGAGAACTTATCCGTGACGTGGGGCGACCAGGACGGCTACGAGGTCTCGCGCAAGATCGGCCGCGGCAAGTACTCGGAGGTCTTCCAGGGCGTGGCGGTCGCCAACGACAAGCCGTGCGTCATCAAGATCCTCAAGCCCGTCAAGAAGAAGAAGATCAAGCGCGAGATCAAGATCCTGCAGAACCTCACGGGCGGCACCAACATTGTCCAGCTCCTCGACGTGGTCCGCGACCCGCAGTCCAAGACGCCGTCGCTTGTCTTTGAACACATCAACAACCACGACTTCAAGACGCTGTACCCGACCTTGACGGACTTTGACATTCGCTACTACATTTTCGAGCTGCTCAAGGCGCTCGACTTTTGCCATGCCAATGGCATCATGCACCGCGACGTCAAGCCGCACAACGTGATGATTGACCACGAGAAGCGCCAGCTGCGCTTGATCGACTTTGGCCTGGCCGAGTTTTACCATCCGAACCGCGAGTACAACGTCCGCGTCGCGTCGCGCTACTACAAGGGCCCGGAGCTCCTCGTCGACATGCAAGAGTACGACTACTCGCTCGACATGTGGAGCGTCGGCTGCGTCCTCGCCGGCATGATCTTCAAGAAGGACCCTTTCTTCCACGGCAACGACAATTACGACCAGCTCGTCAAGATCGCCAAGGTCCGCGGTACCGAAGACCTCTTTGAGTACCTCTCGACGTATGACCTCGAGCTCGACCCGCAGTACGATGGCATCCTTGGCACGCACTCGAAGAAGCCGTGGGAGAAGTTCATTACGCCCGACAACAAGCACCTCGTGACGCCGGAAGCACTCGACTTTCTCGAAAATTTGCTCAAGTACGACCACCAAGAGCGCTTGACCGCCAAGGAGGCGATGGCCCACCCGTTCTTCCAAGTCATTCGCGACCACCACGACGCACAGCAAAAGGCCTAAGCCGAGACGACAACGACGACTTGACACTCGTCGGAGGCTGGTAAAAAGGCATGGCTAGTAACAACAATCACTTCGAAAACCCCTTTTGCATTGCATTGTGTTCGGCGCCTTTTCCTCCTGCGAGGACAATACGATCGATTTGGATGATCGGTCCTATTTGGTCCCGTTGGTATGAGCAGTAGGTTCTGCAACAAGGACACGCGATGGCAATCTGCCGCCTCGCAAGAAGCTGCTGTGACGGAGCTGTATATCGATTGAGAGGGTCGAGTCGTGTTGTTGGTACCAGAGCCAAAGTTCGTTCGGATCATGTTGGGTTGGATGGACGCGTTAAGTACGCGCTGGGTTGGCGTGGAAAGTACGTTCGCATTTTAATTCCTGCTTTGACATCACATTTTGAATAAAATACGACAACGAGTGTGTGTGTTTTAGCCGTGTGGGAAATGCATATTTCAGATGGAGTCCTAACTAGGCTTTGTCTCGGCCAATGAGATGAGAGAGGGCGCGTGAAGAGAGGCGGACCCAAGCGCGTGGTTTATCGCCAAGAGAGGTATAAAGGGTGTGTTCCGTGGTAGAGATAGGTATGCGTGGGCATGTACTTTGATACTAGAGTGTGCTGCGTCTTGGATCGCTGTCGAAAACGCTATAGGAATGTTGATGATTACTATCGATAATGTTTTGAAAGATATGAGACAAGCTGTGCGCTAATGGTGTAGTGGTAACATGTCAGGTTCCCATTCTGACGCCCCGGGTTCGATTCCCGGTTGGCGCATCTTTTTTATCGTGGGCAGGATGATTGATAGCAAGGTTGATGATAGCACCATGATTTGATGGGCGTTTTTTTAATACCGTACTAGTACGTGGAGTCAAAGTTTGAAGGGTTTGAGCACTTGTCAAGCGGCGCAATGCGTCGCTCGACATCATTGTGACGACGTACTAATGTTCCACATTATGATGCTATTTGCGCTTAGTCGGCTTTGAGTGGTTTTTTTACGAGACTGCGCACTTGATCAAGCTGCGGGGACGACCGATGGTTGATGTAAATCGTGTACACTGCGTTGAGCTGCGCGTGGTGCTTGTAATGGTACGTCTGGAGCCACTCGCTGTGGTCGATCGCATAGTATGTTTGGACAATGAGGTACGTCGCGAGCAGCACCGTGAGATTCTGCTCCCAGACGAAGATGTGCATCGCGAGAACGACGGCGCCGGGGCCGCCAAATTCAAACGCGAGATCGATCGGGTGGAAAATGACGTTGGTCGAGTGCGACGAGTGCAGACAGCAGTGGTGCATCACGTGCACGTGCGGCCAAAGCTCGTGGAGGAGCTTGTGTGCGGCGAAGAAGAGTCCTTCGGTGAGCGCGAGGTTGATGGCAATCGCAGCGACGATCCAAGGTGAGTAGGACGAAGGGTGCAGTAGGCCAGCGACCGTGTCAGGCGTGCCCATGTAGTACACGACGACAAACGTCAAGAACTGAGACGCAACGGTGTTGAGCAGCATCGTCGCCACCGTGGTGGCGTCCGAGAAGCCGTTGGCGCGGAGACTCACAACGTTCTTGCCAAAACTGTTGGAGACAAGGCCGTCCAGCGTCAGAGTGGCAGTGGCCAAGAAAATGTAGATGCTGAAGCCAGTGAAGCCGTAGTGAGGAAGCAGCACAAAGTGGCCGTATTGCATGACGAACATCGTGAGGAGAAAGTACGGCGCGCCATGGAGCTTGTCGAGCGGTGCTGGCCCGTCTCGGACAATGAGGCCGTCCAAAAGCATTTCTTGTACCGTGCTGCGCCAATTGGAAAGAAGATTGGAAAGTGGCCTGCAAATTGTATTTCAGCTCCTGGCTTTATTCACCGTCTGTGTCCAATGAATGGTCTGTGTCTTGGGCATCTGGGTCGAGTCGACGACGTCACCAAATGGGTACATACAAAAAAGGTGTGGGAGCAAAAGCTGATGCTCGAAAATTTTACGTGACTTGTATCCCTCGCTCGCCGGGTCGTGGTTGCACAGGCGTCCGCGCGGGGGCTCGTCTTGCTCAACGGAATTTACGGCAAGTCACTGGTCTACGTCGCTGGGACATCACCGGTGTTAGTAAGGCTCACGACTTTTAAACATCGTTTTGTATATGAAGCACATACAATATTACTAGTAGGCCTCGCTCGAGGCCGCAAGCGTCCCTCCCTGATTGACAATCGGTAGTACAAGGGACACACACCTGTTCGTTAACGTATATTTCATGATGTAGAACGGTCGTAAAACTTAATGTTGGTACGTCGTCACAAGGATGTCGAGCGACGCATTGCGCCGCTTGACAAGTGCTCAAACCCTTCAAACTTTGACTCCACGTACTAGTACGGTATAAAAAAGCGCCCATCAAATCATGGTGCTATCATCAACCTTGCTGGCAATAAAAATGATGCGCCAACCGGGAATCGAACCCGGGGCGTCAGAATGGGAACCTGACATGTTACCACTACACCATTAGCGCACAGCCTGTCGCGTATGTCTTTTCGCCGTATCTATAGCGCTCTACAAGGATTTGAAAAGGGCTATCGACATCGATTCTTTTTGCAACACACGCTAGCCAAAGTGCATGCCCAGACACACCTATCACTACCTCGACCCACACCGCTCCATACCTCCCTCGGCGATTAAAACCTCCGTGTCCACACGCCATTCTGCCATCTCATTGGCCGAGCCTTCAGAAATCCTAGTTAGGACTCCATCCGAATATGCATTTACCACACC